ACACACACACACACACACCCCGAGTGCGTATGTTAAAACTAGTTACACGCAATCAGATAAGATTATATTCGAGTGGAAACACGTCTGTGGCGGAGAGGGGCTCTCGGTCTGTCTGCGGAGTGAAACACTGCACCGCGGAAAAGGGGGACGGAGGCATTCAAAGGCAATAATTTACCACCACAGCGGTCAAATTGCGACATCTGTACGAGCGTGTTTTCACGTGACACCCTCAGCCTACAATTAGTACCCAGTCGTGACAACAATCCCTCATAATCTTGCGAGGTTTGAGAGCTTTTTAAGTTGTTGGCAAATAATGAACTTAATTGTGGACGTAGCTTTTCTTCCACTGAATTAAATGTTTCTTTTCATTGTCCCCATTTACAGATTAGGACATGTTTGTTTAACTCAGCACTCACCTTTAGTTATTATATTTCTTAGACACCATATCATGTAGTCACCCTCAGAGATTACAATTATAAAATAGTATATATGCTTCTGTCTCGCAGGCTGACACCTCGATGGCAATGGACACAGACAGTAATGCGGATGAGGAGGGGGCGGATGAAAGCCGGGATGGGCAGGATGGACCCTCTCCCGGCCGCCCGTGTGAAGAGACAGCCGTGCACTGTGCCCCTGTGCGAGCCGTCTCTGCCCCCTGCTCTCCCTCTGGCACCCGGCCTGGCCCCGGCTGCGGCCCCGGCTCCGGTCTGGACTGCGTCTCTTTCCAGAAGGCCGGTGAGAGGCCCAGCTCCTTGCCCCCTTCCAGCCCCAGGGCCCTTGCACACAATGACTGGGCCTATCATTCTGCTGTCTGCCCAGTGGAGCGCCAGCACCCAGGAATGCAGAGAGACAAAGGTATTCACACTGCTGGTCTAACATGCACACCCGGCATTATAGAGCACTCGAATATTGTTTCATGAGCAAACGCTACGCTTAGTTTGCTTTGGATATGAAATGGGGATTGGCTCTGGATGGGTGACGCGTTTCTTGACAGTAGAAATGCCTTTGTTGATGTAAGCTCGACAATACATTTCCATGGGTTAGCAATGTCTTCCTACAGTGAGGAATCATCCTTTGGCTTGTTTGTACCAGTTATTCAGGTTCAATGGTGTTACGACACACACACATACAGTAACTTTCAGCTGCATTAGTTTTCAATTAGAATTTACCAAGAATAAAGTCAGGTGTGACATTCTGCGTACGGGGATTGTATCAGCATGTGATGTAAACGGTTCGCTCTCTGTCAGCAGCAGCAGAAGCCACGAAGCCAGCAGTCAACTCTGTAACTACCAGCCCCCTCACTTTAAACAACAACGTGAAGAAAGAAGATGGAGGCAAGGCAGAGGAGAGTGGCCTTTCATCGGACCAGCTGGTACCAGACTATGCAGCAGGGCTGGTAACTGTCCTCTGATCCTTTTTGTGTCACACAGCACCACCAGTGTGTCTCCTGCTTCACACGACACATTTTCACATTTTGTTTTGTTCCGTTTTTTGTTTTGCCAACAGGATGAGACCAAGAATGTATCTGATGGAAGACCACAGACACTGTCTTTGCCATCTGACAACTGTGAGTAACGTAGTGTCTCGTTTTTTTGCTTTTAAAGCTGTAGCCTGCATCTGTTTTGCAGAGAACCAATTGATCGCTAGACTGCTCTCAAACGTTAGACAAACCCACGTTAAAGGAATTAATTAGTGACAGCTTATGTTTTAAATACCTTTCTGGCTGTCAGTCGGCCGTTTTGACCAGTACTTGCCTCGAGGCTTGCTCTAGATTTTTTAAATGCTTCACAAACTGGTCCTGCTACCTTCCATCCAGGTGGTGATCACTCCGACTGTTAAAAGTCACGCTGCCTCTCTGCCATACTGCACTATTAGCAGCACTGTCATGTAGAGATGTAGGGAATCTGCAGTTTGATCTGAAGTTGATGCATCATTATTTCGCGGTCAAGAAAAATCACCACATGACCGTGTAATAAACACACAGCTGCTGAGAGTTTGCCGATAAGCAAGGCAACATGAAACTTTACGATTTTTGTATGGACTTGATGAAAATATTCCACAGGGGAAAGTTGTCATCCAACACCTCAGATATACACGGATGGACTTTT